TGGAATAAACTCAGAAAAGTACATCGTAATGAGGAGTGGGAGATGAGAATCAATGCAGGCCAGGCGCTGTGGTCCACGCCTGCAATCCCAGTACTTTGGGAGGCCGAGGCAGGTGGATCAATTGAGGCCAGGAGTTCGAGACTAGCCTGAGCCAATGGCGAAACCCCATGTCTACTAAAAATACAAAAATTAGCCAGGTGTGTTGGTGCATGCCTATAATCCCAGCTACTTAGGAGGCCGAGGCAGGAGAATCACTTGAACTCAGGAAGTGGAGGTGGCAGTGAGCCAAGATGGTGCCACCGTACCCCTCCAGCCTGTGTGACACAGTGACACTCCATCCCAAAAAGAAAAAAGTCAATGCAGAATCTAATACTTCTTACAGGAATCAACATAAGATAAGGGCATATTAGGAGAAGTTCTGGATGTCTATGTGGCTTACTCACAGTATAATAATTATGGAATTACAAACACTTTGATCCCACTTCTCAGTCCATGAGAAATGAGGCTTTTGGCTTTTCCGGAGCTATTCTTATATCCTTTGCTTTATTCAGTTCTCTCCACACCTCTAAGAATTAGAAACATACTGAGGAGGACATAAATAAGACTGAAGGCACAGCCAACTTATGATCTTGGGGACGAGACACAGTATTAGACAAATTCCAGACCTGGGCGTGAAACGGGCTGCTTCCAACGACTGTACTGAAGCCTCCTGCAGGGAACAGCTCATTTGTCCCCAGGCCAGGAGGTCCTGGTGGCTTTACTCCAAGATCCGTGGTCAAGCCCTGTGGCATCTGGTCCGTGGCATCACCACCACCACTTGTCTTCAAGGTCATTAAAATCCCAAGTACACTTGACCTTCAGACAGTGCTCCTTCTGTGACGTCTGTATCTCCTCTCTCACTACTCTGTGCAAGTCTTTTTGAAGCCTGCAGAAAAACAGTACTGAAGTTTAGAAGCAGTGAGCAAACTCAGAAGTGACGAATTTTTGAGGTTCAGGGGAAGATGTGCAGGTTTGTGACGGGGGTCTGTTGTGTGAAGTCTGGCGTGTGAATGATCCCATCACCCAGGAAGTGAGCACAGTACCTGAGAGGTAGCTCAACCCTCGCAGCGTTCCCACCCGCCTCGCTCCAGGAGTCCCCCGTGGCTACTGTCAACATTTTTTTTTTTTTTTTGAGACCAAGTCTCTGTTGCCCAGGCTGGAGTGCAATGGTGTGATCTCGGTTCACTGCAGCCTCCACCTCCTGGGTTCAAGTGATTTTTCTGCCTCAGCCTCCCGTGTAGCTGGAATTACAGCTGACCATCACCCTGCCCGGCTTTTTTGTACTTTTAGTAAAGATGAGATTTCTCCATGTTGGTCGGGTTGGTCTCGAACTCCTGACCTCAGGTGATCTGTCCACCTCAGCCTCCCCAAGTGCTGGGATTACAGACATGAGCCACCATGCCCTGCCTTTTTTTTTTTTTTTTTTTAAATTAAGACTGAGTCATCTTTGTCACCCAGGCTGGAGTGCAATGGTGTGATCTCGGCTCACTGCAACTTCTGCCTCCCGGGTTCAAGCAATTTTCCTGCCTCAGCCACCTGAGTATCGGGGATTATAGGTGCCCACCACCATGCCTGGCTGACTTTTCTATTTTTAGTAGAGACAGGGATTCATCATGTTGGCCAGGCTGGTCTCGAACTCCTGACGTGAGTTGATCCGCGGACCTTGGCCTCCCAAAGTGCTGGGATTACAGGCGTGAGCCACCATGCCTGGCCTACTGTCACTATCTTTAAGTCCATATGTACTCATTATTTAGCTCCAACTCAAGACAACATGTGATATTTGGTTTTCTGTTCCTGCATTAATTCACTTAGGCTAATGGCCCCCAGCTACATCCATGTTGCTGCAAAGGACCTGCTTTCATCCCTTTTCGTAGCTGTGTAGTATTCCATGGTGTATATGGACCACATGCCTGTGAGTTCATCACGGCCCTATTCACTATCACAATGACATGGACCCAACCTTGGTGCTCATCACCAGTGGACTGGATGGAAGCAGGGAAGTGTCAGAAGTGAAAGTACAGGCGTGGTGCAGAGTAAAGTGGCAAAGTGACAAAGCAAAATAAAGGTTAAGGTGCCCCATAAAAAGACTAACAAATGTGGCCAGGCACGCTGGCTGACGCCCGTAATCCCAGCAATTGGGGAGGCTGAGACAGGTGTATCACAAAGTCAGGAGACTGAGACCAGCCTGGCCAACATGGTGAAACCCCGTCTTTCCTAAAAATACAAAAAATTAGCTGGGTGTGGTGGCGGGTGCCTGTAATCCCAGCTTCTCAACTGTCTGAGGCAGGAGAACTGCTTGAACCCAGGAGGCGCAGGTTGCAGTGAGCCGAGATCGTACCATTGCACTCAAGGCTGGTGACAGAGCAAGACTTCGTCTCAAAAAAAAGACTAAAATAAATGAAGGGTAACTTTTGCTTACCCTTTGAGTGGGACCTCCCACCTCCGTAGCCTTACCCATAGATGTCGGGATTAAGTTTGATGGCACGTGGAACCACTTTCCACAGAGAAAAGGCACAACCACAAAGGCAGAGGTTGAAGAAACCACGGTGAAGATAACACAAGAGACCTCGTGGGCAGGCCAGGGTCACTCAGGCCACCGACACTCAATACATCTAAGCACTTCCTCGCAACTTGTGTCTAGCAGTTTTTGGAAAATAAAAGCTGAGCGTTCTCTTCAAGAGTAAGCAAGGGTCTGGGCACCCAGTCAGAAGGTCCCTTCTGCACGCATGCGTGACTGACCATAGAGAAGCTTCAACTCTAACAATCGCCGTCCCAGAGCCCCCATCCCCTTTCTTTTTTTGAGAGTTTCACTCTCGCTGCCCAGGCTGGAGTGCAATGGTGCGATTTTGGCTCGCCGCAACTTCCGCCTCCCGGATTCAAGCCGTACTCCTGCCTCAGCCTGCCGAGTACCTGGGATTACAGGCATGTGCCACCATGCCCGGCTAATTTTGTATTATTACTAGAGATGGAGTTTCTCCATGTTGGTCAGGCTGGTATTGAACTCCCGACCTCAGGTGATCCGCCCACCTCGGCCTCCCGGAGTGCTGGGATGCCAGGCGTGAACCACTGCGCCCGGCCCGGGAGCACTTTTTAAAATACACCACTCAAGTGTGAAGTTGGCAACATCGTATCTTAAATCAAAATATGCAGATTTTGACTCGCTTCTGACAATAAGCAAGGTTTCTTGGCATCTGAGATGACTTCGGCTGAAATGTACCTAGTAACAACTGTTAAGTGCTTTCCTTTCTCCACCACCCCCCAGCGTTTTTTGAGAGGGGGTCTTCGTTACCCAGGCTGGAGTGCAGTGGCATGATCACAGCCCACTGCATTCTCCCACTTCTGGGTTCAGGCAATCCTCCCACCTCAGCCTCCCAAGTTGCTGGGACCACAGGTGTGTGCCTCCATGCTGAGCAAATATTTTAAAAAAATTTTTGTAGAGACAGATCTCCCTATGTGGCCGAAGCTGGTCTCAAAATCCTGGCCCCAAGTTACCCTCCTGCTTCGGCCTCACAAATACTGGGATTACAGGCATGAGCCACTGCAGCGGGCCTGCTTACCTTTCGGATTTCCTCTCAGAACACTGAATGGGGTGGAAAGAGTTCCAATTAAATGATCTTCTTTCAATGCCTCAAAGGGGCAACATACAGCTTGGTACAACCTCAGGGCCTTTGCACGTGCTACTGAAACATCCTTAGTACATTCCACCCTTCATCTCTTGTCACCTCTCATGGTCCCTTCCTGATACATGGACTCCTCCTTCCAGCCTCCTTGGGACTCAGGATCAATGGTACCAGCTCAGGCAAGCTCCCTGCTCTTCTGATCACCCTCCTGTCTCCACATCTCAACCCAGACATTCTTTCCCAGCGCTCGTGACAACAAGATGGCTTGTTTGTCTCAGACCTGTTATCTCCTGGAGGAGAACTCAAGGCTCATGAGGACAAGGCTCACGTCCATTTGTTTCCCTCCTGCCTACCAGGCCATGGTGCTTGGCCCATGAGTAAACGGCTACGGAGTGAAATGTAGAGCAGGTGCAAGAATGATGAAACTAAGTGGGCTCTCAAAATACCCAGAAGTCTCTAGGATGGCACCATCCAATACGGCAGTCATTAGCCATATATGGGTGTTAAGATTTAAGTATAGCTGGGCGCGGTGGCTCACACCTGTAATCCCAGCACTTTGGGAGTCCGAAGCCAGTGGATCACGAGGTCAGGAGATCAAGACTGTCCTGGCCAACATGGTGAAACCCCGTCTCTACTAAAAATACAAAAATTAGCTGGGCGTGGTGGAGCACACCTGTAATCCCAGCTACTCAGGAGGCCGAGGCAGGAGAATTACTTGAACCTGGGAGGCAGAGATTGCAGTGAGCCAAGATCGTGCCACCGTACTACAGACCGATGGCAGAGTAAGACTCCATCTCAAAAAAAAAAAACAAGGAAAGCAAGCAGTCCAGGCGCGGTGGCTCAACCCTGTAATTCCAGCACTTTGGGAGGCTGAGACAGGTGGATCACCTGTGGTCAGGAGTTTAGTGGTGAAACCCTGTCTACAAAAATACAAAAATTAGCCAGCATGGTGGAAGGCACCTGTAATCCCAGCTACTCGGGAGGCTGAGGCAGGATAATTGCTTGAACCTGGGAGGTAGAGGTTGCAGTGAGCTGCTGTCGTGCCACTGCACTCCAGCCTGGGCGACAGAGCGAGACTCTGTCTCACAAAAGAAAACAACACTATTAACTCAGGTCCCAGTCACACTAACCATATTTCAAGTGCCCAGTTATCAGATGCAGCTAGTGGCTATGCAGCAGGTGCACAGCGCAGATAGAGGTCATTCCCATCCTACTGAAAGCTCCATCAGCCAGTACTGCTCAAGGAAACGGAGTGCCATGTAAACCTGGCACATGCTTTAGAAGCCTTGTCAGTCTAGCCTCGTCTCCGCAGGCTCTTCCCTGTGGAAAAGTCAGTGGGGATTACCCGAGTTTCTGTAGCCTGCATGTTGACTTCCTCAAGGCCTTACATAGCATCTTGACACCATCGGGATCCAGCTCATTGCCTAGAAGGTTCAGATTGACCAGGGTCTTACTGCTGCGGACAACAGAGACAAGAGGCGGGCAGCAAGCAGTCGTCAGATTGCATTTTGCCAACCTAGGGGCAGGCGGGAAGAAAGCGTAAGAGATAGTCCTCTGAGACTCAGAAGTTACAGAAGTGATACCACATCTAGAGGAAAAAACTACTAAAACAGAGTGCTTAAGAGTGGAGCACTTACTCCATGCTGGGAACCATTTTTTTTTTTTTTTTTTTTTTGAGCTGGAGTCTCGCTCTGTTGCCAGGCTCGAGTGCAGTGGCATGATCTCGGCTCACTGAAACCTCCTTCTCCAGGGTTCAAGTGATTCTCTTGCCTCAGCCTCCTGAGCAGCTGGGACTGCAAGTGCGTGCCACCATGCCTAGCTAATTTTTCTATTTTTAGTAGAGATGGGTTTTCAAAATGTTGGCCAGGATGGTCTCAATCTCCTGACCTCATGATCTGCCCGCCTCAGTCTCGCAAACTGCTAGGCATGAGCCACCGCACCCAGCCACCTTATAATACTTACACCTAACTCATCTAACCCATCTATCAAGCCTATCAAAGGTAGATACTACTTTAAACTGTATTTGATGGAGGAGTAAACAAAAACTTACCCTGCCAGAATGTGAAACAAAGTATTTTAATGTGAGTTTATTAGATCAATGAAAGAACCGAAATAGCACTATTATTCCTTGTTTATACTTTTTTCCATCTTATTTCTAAATTCAACAATACCAAATTTGAACATATGGTTGACTAGCTACTAGAAACACGAAGACAAAAGTGAGAAAGTGTGAAGATCGGTTTAACACAGCAGAAATCTCCGTGTTCACAAAGAACTATGACACGCTGGCCAAGCACAGTGCTCATGTCAGCAATCCCAACAATTTGGGAGACTGAGGCAGGCAGATCACTTGAGCTCAGAATTCAAGACCAGCCTGGGCAACATGGTCAAACCTCATCTCTATAATCAATAAAAGAAAACAGGCGGTGTCATGGCATGCACCTGTTGTTCCAGCTACTTGGGAGGCTGAGGTGGGAGGACTGCTTGAGCCCAGGAAGCAGACGTTGCACTGAGCCGAGATCACACCACTGCGCTCCAGCCTGGGTGACAAGTGAGACTCCATCTTAAAAAACAAAAACTACAAACCATAAAGCCCTTCTTTTAGAAAGAAAAAAGTCGGAATGAGTCTCTCTTAAGGAAATAGTTCAATAAATTGCTTCACTGATTTTTTTGAAAGATGAACTTGATTCAGAATGCGTTTATCTTAAATTTGGCACTGCAGATAACATTAACCTATTCATGTCTCTAAGGCCTATGAGAGAACAAATCTAGTTTATGTTTAAACCAATAATTTAAATCATGGTATCTAATAAAGTAGATTTAACAATCTCTGAACAGAGGTTTGACGTGGCTGGTAAGTATGACTTAGGATTTGTTAGTGTCAAATGAACTAATAAACACCTTTTCTGAAAACATCACTGAGCTATTGTATTAACCAACCCTTTAGCCATTCCGTACCTAAGAAATTGCTATCATGTCAGCCACATTTAGCAAAACATCCTATGTTTGAGAACAAACCGTCTCAGTCTGCTGAGTACACATTGCATGATGGTTAAAAACTGAAGATTCACAGTGCAGAGAGCAGGCTGCATCCCACCCCCCAGCACCTGGAACCCACAGTGGGCGGATTGGGAGAAACAGTATTTACAGTGTACCAAGGATGGTGGTAACAAGAGTGAAACACCTTTCTAAACTCAGAGCTTATCATCCAGCAGTAGAGATTTTGTTTTGTTTTGTTTTGTTTTGAGATGGAGTTTTGCTCTTGTTGCCCAGGCTGGAGTGCAGTGGTGCAATCTCGGCTCACTGCAACCTCCGCCTCCCAGGTTCAAGCGATTCTCCTGCCTCAGCCTCCTGAGTAGCTGGGATTACAGGCGCCGGCCACCACACCCAGCTAATTTTCATATTTTTAGTAGAGATCAAGTTTCACTGTGTTGGCCAGGCTGGTCTCGAACTCCTGACCTCAGGTGATCCACCCACCTCGGCCTCCCAAAGTGCTGGGAGGCGTGAGCCACTGTGCCTGGCCAAGATTTCTTAAAGGAGGCCTTTGTCCTTACTCTGTCTTACTTTGTAACCCCTGATGGGACCCTACTGTTGGATCTCCCCAGGAATAGAGAAGGGAGACTCTGCGGGGAGAACAGCATCAGCTCACCCAAGTGTGTACAAAGCATGATGTGAAGGTTTCAGAGCCTCACACAGCAGCTTGACTCCATCATCCCCAAGATCATTTTCTCCAACGTCCAAGATTTTCACATGGTGATTGTGCTTGAGGGCAGTAGCCAGCTCTTGACAGCCCTCTCTTGTGAAAGAGCAACCTGACAAACTGCAAAACAAAAAGATACAGAAGGGGGAAGAGTGATTGCTGTGCTCACACCTGCCCATCTCATATCCAAGGAAAGGAGAGACTGTGAAGCCAGATGTTTGTCCCACGCCTCGAATCAGGAGGGTGCGAGTCAGGAGGACGCAGACACCTCCAGGGGCTCTATTTACCTGTGATAGAAAGAGAGTAGATGGCACAGCAGTGCAGCCCTCTCCCCCGTGCCCCCTGCAGGTGTGCCAGCCTGAAGGGCATCTCTTCGGTGTTTGCCACCCAGCACCTCGAGTTGGCCTGGTGGCCGCAGTGCACCTGTCTAAGCCTTCGAGTGCAACCGAAGAGCTGAAGAGACCAGAAACCTACCCTAATGGCAGGCCTACATTTTCCAGACTGAATTTCTATGCCATAGTAAGCTCAAAATAGTCCAGGTGACTGGAGAACATACGGGACTACAGGGGAGGGATGAGGAGAGGAGGAAGGAGGAAGAGACAGCAGGAGAGAGGAATGTTGCAAGGCTGATACCCTTCTGTGGAGAAGGCACATGGGAATTCAAAATCCTTAACCCATTAAAAAAAAAAAAAAGGTTTGAAAAATGTCCATGTGGCTAAACCACCACAGGCCAAGTCTGAGAACTGCCAGCCTGATAAACGATACGTGCAAATCAAACCCAAGACAGCCAGACTGCCCTAGAGCTTAGACATGGTGGTTGAGGGGTATAACAGTCTCAGTTAGTAGGAATATAGTTGTTAGGTTTTGGGGGTTTTTTTTGAGACAGTCTAGCTCTGTCACCCAGGCTGGAGTACAATGGTGTGGTCTCAGATGGCTGCATCCTCTGCATTTTTAAGTAGAGATGAGTTTTTACTATGTTAGCCAGGCTGGTCTCGAACTCCTGACCCTGTGGTCTGCCCGCCTCAGCCTCCCAAAGTGCTAGGATTACAGGCATGAGCCACTACACACACCCAGCCTTGCGATCTGTTGCACAGCATGGTGAATGTAGTTAATATTCTGCCTTTCAAAATTGCTAACATAAGTACCTCCAAATGTTATCACCGCAACAAAAAGTATTTGAGGTGATGGGCATGTTAACTAGCTTAATTATTCCATTGTATTCATAATCATAACACTTTGAATCCCAAAATATACATACAGATGGTAAATTTATAATAAAAAGATTAAAATTTTAAAAACAAGAAAGAATACCTCCAAGTTAGTAGGGAAAAAAATGCAGTAGGTAAAAAAAAAAAAAAAAAAAAAAAAAAAAAAAAACCTATCAGCAAGTTTTATCAACAGGTTTTTTTTATCTGGATGTTTATATAAATGGTTGTCAGCATTTGAAAACACACTCAACTTCATTCTTATAAACACAGACACAAACATAAAACTACTTTGCATTTACAAAGGAAGACATATGACCCTTAGGATGGGCCTCAAGGTAATCTCAGAGGAAGAAATTATTTCGACCATTGTGGAAGACAATGGCGATTCCTCAAGAATCTAGAACCAGAAATACCATTTGACCTAGTGATCCCATTACTGAGTGTTGGTGAAGTTTTAGATGTAAGGGTATAGGCTGTGAATCAATAATTGTTGAAGTTTGAACATGGATTACGTTATATGCTCTTCTCTCTACTCTCAAGTTTCAAATTCCGCTGGAAGCATAAAAAATACGCTGATGGCCAGGTGCAGTGGTTCATGTCGTGGTACATGCTAAACCACACATTTCCAGCACCCGGTAAAAATTCAGGACACAGCGTCTCTCATGAGCTGCCCTGGTAGACCACGCTTTGCGTGATTGCCACAGCCGGTTGCTGGAGGAATTCAGTGCGTCTTGTGTGATTGCACAGAAAGAGGACTCCTGGGAGCTTGTGTTGGTTTCCTCTGGACTTGGTCCCAAGCACCTTTCCCCTTTGCTGATTTCCCTTGTGCCCTCTCACCGTGAAGTGTAGCCGCACATATGACTCTGGGCTGACTCCCGCGTCCTCCCAGAGAAACATCAAAAACCTGAGTGCTGGTCTCAAGGAACCCCGGAAACACACATGTTCACAGCCATCCCACTTTCCCCTCACAGAGACCACCCCATACCATACCCCCAAGAAAACCAGAAGCTCCTCTACAGCAAAGAGCTAGTCCACACCTCACTCAGCCCCCATCAGGGACTCAGGCATTGGTGGGTCAATTTCCCTTGCTCTCTTCCATCCACTGAATGAGATGGAGCCAAGAAAACTTACTTCAGGCTCTGCAGCTTACAATCAGGGTGACGCAAGGCTTCACACAGGAACTTGACTCCCTCATCTCCCAGGCAGTTCTTGCTCAGATTCAGGTGCATCAGGGTCCTGTTCTGCAAGAGAGCGTCTGACAAGTGCCTGCAACCACGTGCTCCCAGCTGGCAAAACCAGAGCCTGCAGGGTGAGAGCCAGAGATGGGTGCTCAGGAAAGCAGGCCAGACCCAGGCACCCAGGGCCGAGCCTCAGGCACCCCAGGTCCACCCATGCAGCAGCTCCCTGAACCACTGTGTCTTTCTTTCCAGCTGGACACCAACCCAGGCTGTGCCAGTATCTTGTGTACCATAACCCTCCCTCAGTCCAGATTTCTGCAATGAGCACACCAAATCTGTGCTTATTAGTGATTGGTTTAGGAAAAGATGGAGGAAAAAAAACTTTCAAGGCTCCAAGGCATTGGCGATAAACCCCAGGCTGTGGAGCCAGCTGGTTGTGGGTCCAAACAGGCTTTTACATCGGCAGCTGGGAGACCCTCAACAAGTTGCTGCTCTCCCTTCAGTCTTCATTGCCCTCCATCCTAAAGTGCAGCAGGATGGTTTATCAGAGCTGTCAGCGATCGATACGTGAGCAAATACATGTGCTTGGGACAGCGCTCGGCAAACAGGCAGTGTTCAGGTTACGGAAGATAAATTACATCACAAATGGAGATGTCATATATCAGATATGTATCTACTGCATAATGTTTGTGTTACCATGTTAGTTTTATAAAAAGATATGTAGTTATAAACTATCATGTTAAATATCAACTATAATTACATAATATGTAATATAAATATTACATAATACAGATTTCATTGCATTTCACATTATGATACATGTTATAATTATACATGTATATGCATATAATTACAATCAATTACATTATAAATTATAATTTAATCATAATTATAATTATATAATTTTTTACATAATTATAGTTGTGATTATATAATTACAGCTAATTATAATAATTGTATGTGTATGATCATGTTCCAATGTGTAGAACACAATCATAATTGTACTAATTACTAGGATTATAATAAAGTTAAACTATATTAGGGTTATAATACTAATTATAATTAGTTATGATTATAATGGTGTTACAGTTCTACACACTGTGTCATGATCACATACATAATTACATACATTAGTAACTCACATTATATATATGAATCACCTATTGACGTTCCCGGTCACGGAGACTCAGTGCTGAATGAGCACCGGCCCTTTGCTCCTTTGCCGGTTCGAAGTCTGTGGTTCTCGGTTACAGTTCCACGGTAACTGACTTGGTGACACCTAGAGGCCCTCGGCCTTTTCTGCGTTTTTTTATACTCACCTGACAATTGTCCAGTCTGAGGAAAACCCAGCTTCCCCTCTATTCCACACCTGCACCAGAGAAGCACCACGCAGCTGGGGAAGAGGAGCTCTGAAGCGTCTCACTAGTGCACCACTGCACAGGGGCTCTCATCCCCACCCAGCAGTCCTCTTGACGCCTGCGGTCCTGCCTACGACTGCTCCCATACAGTCTTCTGCATGGTTGTTGGACAGGCATCTTGAGCTCCTGCAACCCAACCCAAACGCTTTCACCAGCCCCTGCTCTGCCCCCAACATTCCCTGTGTTGGAGAACGGTCCCATCCTTTCCCTAGCTGCCAACCTCATCCTCTGGGAGGTGTTCTTGGTACCCTCCCTCCTAAACCACCTGGAATCCATCAGCAAACCCTCTTAGCTGTACTGAAGAGGGAGAAGAAAAATTAAAGCAACATAATACAAAAATAAAATTAATGCAGCAAAGAGAAGCAGGAATTAAACTTTCTTCTATGAGTCCTTCCCCCTCCCGTGGAATTGTAACCTACTTTGCAAGTTTTATAAGTTAATGAGTTCTTGCATTCTTGTTCTCTATAGCTGATAACTCTAAGTTTCTTGAACACAGCGAAGGTCGTCAGGAACGTGCAAGCAGCCAAGAGGCCGGCCTTCCGGGCGCTGCAGCAGAGGGCAATAGACAGGGCCTGTGCTAGAACCCTTGAGCTCTACACACAGTGAACGTCTGGGTCTCATAGCGACAGTCATATGTGAGCCTCAGTTAGGTGCCTGTCACTGCTTGATGAATTGCCTTTGTTCTGCACCTGCAAACTCATTTTAGCGCCACTGTGTACTTCGCATATAAAAAGTCAAGCCCTGTCTTTGTGGGGGCACTCAGCCATCTTGGATGCGAATCTGAGCTGGGCCGGGTATACCAAAACTCCTTCTGCAACCTCAGCGGTGTCTCCCGCCTCTGAAATTCTCCAACACTGCCTTCCGATCTATCCCGAACTCCTGTAGCCACCCCACGGGCCACTCCCTCCTATCCTCTCGCCTGGTGGACAGGAGTCCCATTTCTTGCGTGTACTGCATCTTTGTCCCCACTGCAGTCTACCCTTCAACAGCACCTGCACTACCTTTCAAAGTAGGTCAGATTAAGATAACGTCCCCCTTCCAAGCCAAGGAAGGCTTTCCATGTCACTCCAAACAAAACACAGATTCCTACACAGCCCAGCACATCCCAGGCACCTCCACCTGCCACCACTGCCACCGTCACTCACTTTACCCCAACCATGCTAGCTCCTCCCTGCTCCTCCAACACGCCGCGCTCCTTCCAACCTCAGGCCTTTCACGCTGCTGCTCCTTCTCTGCGTACAGCTGCCTCCCTTGCTTCATCCGAGTCTCTGCTGGAGTTTCACCTCTTCACAAAGGTTGGTGAGACAAGACTCTGCTGGGACATCAACCCCACCCCTGTCATCCGACTCTCATTCTCCTTTGTTTTTCTTTGTATCTATTGTTTTTACATGTCACTCATAAAACCATCTCCCACCTGAGTAGGAAGTGTATCTGTCCTATCTACCACCTAGACCTTGAGGCCTCGTTCTATCTCTGCCAGGAGCTCACATACCGGTGGATCAAAAAATTCATCACCTCCTAGGGTCCTTGTGGAAATTAAGTTTCTCGGCATAACCGCCAGAGATGGAACCAAGAAACCCAGGATGCCACTCACAGTCTGTTTCAGAGCAATTCCCGGCACACAGTAATTACTCAATGAATGTTACTTTTTAATGCTGTAAATAGTTCTCAAGTGAAGAAAGCATTGCTCTTGCTATCTGTGTGCACAGGGTCATTTCCAGAAGTGGAGCCAGGGAACACTTACTCCAGCCTCTCCAAGACACACTCGGGGTGAGTCAGGGCAGCACCCAACAGCTTTATGCCAGAGTCTTGGAGCCGATTAAATCCCAGGCACAGTCGAGTTACTCGTCGGATGCTGATCAGGAACAAGGCCAGGTCCTGACAGCTGGCCCCTGACAGGTTGCATTTCTCCAGGCTGTGGAAGGTGCAGGAGCAAGGTGAGCCTCAGCAGTGATGCCCAGGTTCCTTTTCTCTCTTGACCCCTTAACTCCTGAGCCCCAAACATTACAGGAAGATTAAGCTGGAGAAAGAACAAAACCTTGAAAGAGAAAAAGGGCCAGGCCTGGTGGCTGAAGCCTATAATCCCAGCACTTGGGGAGGACAAGGTAGGCAGATAACCTGAGTTCAAGAGTTTAAGAGCAACCTGGTCAACATGGTGAAACCTCATCTCTTTATTTAAAAAAAAAAAATTAGCTGGGCATGGTGGTGCATGTCTGTAGTCCCAGCTACTTAGGGAGGCTGAGGCAGGAGAATCACTTAAACCAAGAGGGAGAGGTTGCAGTGAGCCAAGATCGTGCCACTGCACTCCAACCTGGGTAACAGAGGGAGACTCCCTCTCAAAAAAGAAAAAACACAAAAACCACAGGAAGGAGATAAAGATGAGTCAAGGTAGGGTTTTCTGACCCTCAGCCCTGTGGACGTGTGAGCTGGATCACACCTAGGTGCAGAATGAGACCACCCTGTGCATTACCAGACGTCAATCATAACTGGCCTTTACCCACTAGACGTTACCCATCAATAGCATCCTTTGCACCTCTGGGACAACCAACCATGGTGTCCAGGCATTGCCACATGTCCCCTGGGGGGCAAAATCAAATCAGTTGAAAACCCCTAGATCTGGGGAGGATCAAAGAAGCCTAAGGAGATTATGCAAAGAAAGACTCCCTGCTCAGACAGCCATGATCAAGAGAGGGCAAAGCTGGCTGGAACTGAGCCCCACAGTGAGTGGTGTGGGAAGAAAGAAGAGGCCAGGCACCATGGCTCATGCCTGTAGTCCTGGTAGTTTGGGAAGCCAAGACAGGTGGATCACCTGAGGTCAGGAATTCAAGACCAGCCTGGCCAACATGGCAAAACCTCATCTCTACAAAAATACAAAAAAAAAAAAAAAAAAAAAAAAAAAAAA